GGCACATGCAGTGGGCGCGGAAGGTGTGGCTTGGGCGCCTTTTTATTCATCGAGGTTTGTGCGCTTGCGCTGATATGCAAATGAAGGTAAACAGAGGTGAGGTGTTTTCTGTAATGGAATTCAGTAGTTTTGATGGGAAAGTTATGTTTATCCATGAGAAAAGAACAATAACGTCACACCGTCAACTAGTTTAGGGCCAATGTTTTTCTGTTTCAGAAAAGTGGAAATTCCGTTTTCAAAAATCCTAAATTCCATTTCAGGCTGAAAAATTCTGTTTCACATTTATTCAATATTAAAAGGCATTAAAACAGATACCATGTACACAGAAAATAATTCCAAGACGATAATAAAATAGTCGTTTGGTTGAAACGCGGGAAAATTGCCCCCAAAAGATTGCTTTTTTTATCAACGGCCGATCAATGTACAGACGTAGTATTTAACTTCCTCACAGTCAAGTCGTATAATGCACCGCCACTGCCACACTTGGAAGAAACATGCAATAGCCGTACAGGCCAATCCCATGACGTCACACTTCACATCAGCTGGCCGAAGCGAAATTCATGTCCGCCATTTTGTTTTCGCACTAACGTTAACGACAAAATAGGATAGTTTACGGTAGATTTTTGGACCTAAGCACAACATGCATTTCAAAAGAGCCAAAGTTAGATGTTATACAAATAGATGATTGATTGAACGGAGAAAAATAAACCTGCCGATGGAGCAAAAGAGACCCGCAAGAGCGTGCCGTGAGTGTGATGATTTTCACCCGTGCGCTGACCGACAGCTACGGCATGCATCGGGACTGTCACTCCCATGACTACGCGTAAAAATCTCATAACATTTATTGCTCTGATCTGGAACATTTTTGTCCTGCCAAAATCGTGATATATACACCGCTCATTTGTTATATGGCTCGTCTGTTCAATAAATCATCAACAATTCGTTTTGCACTCAATAAATTTAACGAAATTATGTTTTTTTATCAACAAAATTGCAGAAGTTATTTTCTTCAGATTCAAATTCCGTTTTCCGTTTCGAGGAGCAGAGTAGTTACATGTGCATTAAAGTATTTAAAGAACAGCTCTTGTGAGGTGCCACAATAGCCTAGTGTATAGTGAGCTGAACTATGTGCCCGTTTTTGGTTTTTTGTTTGTTTTTCTCCCTCCTTTTCAGCCATTCCCCATAGCATTTGTACACGTTTTTACAGTGGAAGGCACTTAGGGCATTAAAATCACTCGGATTGACTTTATACTCGGCACACACTTAGACCAGCATCTGAAGATGTGCGCCGAACATTGACGTCATCATGACGTCATCACGAGTCAAATGGCGTCACATTATATGCGATTTTTCTATTGTGACCATTTTCTAGCAGAATTCGGCTAGATCTGACAGATTGGGCGTTATCTCCAGAACTACCTGTCCGATTGGGTTGAAAGTTGGTATGTACCTAGACCAGAAATTTACTTGACGTCATGATGACGTCATCACGTGACATATGACGTCTAACATATTTTGAAGGCCTATATCTCCAGAACTGCTAGTCCGATTGGGTTGAAACTTGGTACGTACCTAGACTGGGATCTGTTATAGATGAAAATTGAAGTGAAGACACGATGACGTGACATGTGATGTCATTTTAAAGACGACACGTGACATGCATATTTTGAAGGCCAATATTTTCAGAACTGTATTGGTCCTGATCACTCTACCGCACATGTTGTCCTATCAACCTTACATGACATAAAAATACAATAACAAATTATTTTCTTTTTTGATGTGACGTCATCATGACGTCATCACGTGACATGGGACGTCATAATTCAAAGCCCTATGAGAATGAAATCGCATATTTTTATGCCACCATTTAATATATGGGCAATTCCACACCAAAGTGGACATGACACCAAAAAATTTAAATACATGCGACTTAAACAAATTTGGCATCAAATGAAAGCTAAAAGTCTATATTTTCAAGATTTGAAGTCAGAATTTTATTTTTTATACATTTCGGTACCAAAAAATAGGATTATGTAATAATCCTGTTTTAATCCTAAAAATGTGATTAATAGTGATATGAAAGTATTCTACCAATAGACACACAAAAATATGTACTAATGCCATCAGTTTCTGTCATGAGAAAGTATTGGTCTTGAAAAATTGACTAAAACTTGTTTTTAACATTTTACGTAATTTGTTTCGCTTCAGTGACTTCTAATATTTCAGCCTTCGAAAATGTCCTTCCGTTACCGAAAAAATACATATTTTTAATTTATTTTTTAAACTTGCAGTATGAATGCATTGAAAGTTATTGTGCAAAGCAAGTTTAGGTAGGCCTTCAATATGACATTACAACTGACACTGCTGTACTTCTCGTTTTTTAATTACAATTAATTAAATCACGTCCTTCCGTTACCAAATTGGTAACGGAAGGACGGTAACGGAAGGACAAATCGTATTTTTATCAAATGTTACTACATTTGCGCTCATGTTTGAAAAATGAAAATCACTGCAAATACATGCATGTATAATGAGCATTGAAAGGACATTCATGTGACCCACCTTCACAAAAGCGGGATAAGCAGGGCAAGGTGTTTATTACAAAGGAAGGCACAGGCATGTACAACATGTACAATGTACATGTACATATATGCCGATGTACCAGTACTTGTACATGTATGGAGTTGTTGCAGAAATTCAAATCAAAAAGTTGCTGCCATCAGCATTCATGGACAATAGAGAAAGATACGAATTCTATGAAGCCATTCCAGAAGCAAATTAAGTCAAAAATGAGATGGCAGAAAGTACCGGTACTTTGGGGCACTTTCATTCAATTTACATGTGTAAGACATGTGAGGTGCAATCTTTGACAAATTATGCCCAAGTTAACAATTTCAGTTTGGATGTTTATAAATTAATTGTTACTACTCTAAATCATTGTAATTTGATTTCAAACATTGATTTTAGAGTTCAATAAAAGGAAAACCTCACTGAAGCCATCAGTTCTACCGGTAGATGTTTTTACCTTAAATGTACATGTAAGCTGGTCCCCCCCCCCCCCCACCCTTTAGGTAAACCTTTGAACCTACCGGTATTATTATTAAAAGTTGTTGGTGAACATGTAACCAATATACTCAAGAGTTCAAATACTGTGTATTTAAACTTTTAAGGATTGAGGTGATGGGTTTCAAGTCTATTTCTGTAGTAGTCCTGTGTTCGTGAATTATGTGTTTTGGGTTGTTTTTGTTTTTCTTTTGTTATCATTAATTAGCAGGCTTCTATCTTTATCTCAATAGTTTCTTGGGTATAATTATTTATGCCAGGTCTGCATATTGTTGATTTCACATTCAGTTACACATTTCAGCAATTTGTTTAACTTGTATAATTAGTGTAAATTCACATTTTGTTCATGCTATAATTGAGTAAACCTTTTGTCCTTCCGTTACCGTCCTTCCGTTACCAAATTATAATCTGCTTAAAACGTTGTAATTATATTACCGAAACACTTAAAGTCAAATGAAAGGCGGTATAGTATAGATAAAGCTTCAGGGATTCCATTTCCTACCTTTAAAATAAAATTGCCCCATAAAATTCACAGAGTTTACGCAAAACGCGAGTAAGTTGGAAAACCCTTGTCCGTTTTACCGTCCTTCCGTTACCGACCTCATTAATATTCATAATTCATAAACGGGAGGCATTCATGCCCCCCAAAAGTGTGGAAAATGAAAGTAGCATTATAGCAATACAATTGTGACATTTGTTTGCTGTAACTATGAACAGTGTCTGTGATACACACATTTGAAATTTTGTTTAATGAGTGAAAACGTCCTTCCGTTACCGTGGAATTGCCCATATACATAACCACACATCCTTCCTGGATGGGACTTATACTTGAAACATATATATGTCACAAAAAGTTACTGAAACAGCCCTGTGTTTGTCCACAAACATAAATCTAGTTTATCAATTATATTTGTTCTCCAAGTTCATCTTTGGGATAATTTTAATGGAAAACAAGACCTCGAGTAACTATGTGTTTTCCACACAGTGTGATAACTTCTCATGTCAAGGAGAGAGCGTGATGTGATTGATTATAAATTTGCCAGGATTGACAATGTCTGCTACTGAACAGAAAATTGCCACCCGCCCACCTAAGCATGCCTAAAAATAAATGTTTTCAAAGAAACCACACAGGGAAACTGACTAGGTTATGATCATTTTAAGGTCGAACAAAGAAATTGACTGGAGCGAGGTTTGAACCTGCAAGCTCCGGATTACCGTTCTGGTGCTCTATCAACTGAGCTATCCAGCCTACCATTGGCTCCCCATTTAGTCAATGTCTTTGTTCAAGAGACGCTAATCAGAAGCCATAAACCGGGGATCACTCAGAGAGGATACACTTTTTTATTACAAAGAAACCATACAGGGAAACTAACCAGGTGCATTATAATTATTTTAAGGTTGAACACCGAAATGGTAATCAGGTTGTAGGTTCAAACCCTGCTCCAGTCACTTTCTTTGTTCAACCTTAAAATAAAAATAAATGTAAGAGGAAAAAAAAGGACTTCAATGTTTAAAACATCCTCAAAATTGGTCTTTGAGGATGTTATTTTGGGATTGGGGAGGAGGTGTAAACAGTAATGCTCCTATTTACATGCTCCGTTCACAGAAATAGCTTCTGAACATGAAGAGCATTTCATGTAAAATTTTTCAACAGAACACTGATGGAATTTTGGGGTTTTTTTTCTAATTTTTGGAACTTTTACAAAAATGGTACATCTGGTTTAAAACCGGGTAGGGACACGGTCAGTATTTGGCTTCATTTGGCCCTTATCAGGTTTCATTCCAAGGGAGCAACCACAACTTATTTCACAAGATACTGGGTTGAGATCCAACAATCAGACTTTCACCCACAAATGCACATGTAAATTTATGTATACTAATAAATAATGTGCCTGTGTCATTGTTGAACAAAATGTGCGTCAAAATAAAACACTTACAATGATGTTGTTGAGATTGAGCGTCTTCAGAGAGGCGTCATTACTCTTCAGAAGTTTAAGGGATTCTTCAACATCTGTGTTATTTTTCTCATTTCCATGTACTGGTTTAGGAATACTAAACTTGGCGATACCTGAAAAGAACAACACAAATGTGGTAAAAAAGACATCAGGACTCCACATCAAAATACCAAAGTAGTGTTAAAAAACACAGAAATGCCTCGCAACCATGACTGTTCCCATGACATAACACCACTCTATTAACATCAACTTACCTGGGTCACATGGAACGTTCATTGGCATGGTTTTTGTTCTCTATAGGTTACCGGTTTATATGTAATGTATTGATGCCTATGATCCCAGAATATTTTTTTTTTTACTTTTCTGTTGGGAAGTCATCGTAAGTGATTTAAGCAAACTGACTGGATATTTTCAGTCTTATAAAGCAAGACATTTCTCAAAGGCGAATCCTTTGAGCATAATGATTTGAGCATAAGGCCTATATGACAAGGAAATCAGAATGTTTACATATTCAAAAGAAAATATGGTTATTTGAATAAGCTTAAGTTATCATCATGACATCATTTCTTTTGTTTTTAATAATGAGAACAGTTGGCCTATGGGGTCCGAAAGTAACTCGAAATCCTAAGAACAACCCACGGAGCTGCACATACATGTACCGGTACCACGGTGTAAGTCTCAAATTGATTTAGTAATACATGTACATGTGTACGTATGTTGAGAAAACTTTTTCTGTTGTTTTAATCATAATAAACTTGACCTTTGGCCTAAGGGTTAAAAAAAATATGACAGGTTTCTGGAAGATCCCCAGACTAACCGAAACACCAAGTTTTATGTTGATACATGTATGAAAAGTTTTGTTTGTGTTATGGTGGGAAAACTAGGAATGAATGTTTTGTTTATTAAGCCACAAATCGTGGCCCAAAGGCCAAATTGGATGTGGTATTACAACATTTCAATTAAAAATAAGGGTGGAGAAGCCACATTTTTTATTAAAAAAAAGCATGTATAAACAGTGTATAGGCCCCCTAATACTCTAGTGAGTGATTAAATTTGCACATGTATACTGGTTTGGTAAAAAAATAAAAATAAAAAAATTTAAAAAAAAATAAAAAAAAAAAATAATAAAATCAATAATAAAATCAATAAAAAAATCAATAAAAAAATCAATAAAAAAATCAATAAAAAAATCAATAAAAAAATCAATAAAAAAATCCAATCCAATCCAATCCAATCCAATCCGATCCAATCCGATCCAATCCGATCCAATCCGATCCAATCCGATCCGAATCGATCCGAATCGATCCGAATCGATCCGAATCGATCCGAATCGATCCGAATCGATCCGAATCGATCCGAATCGATCCGAATCGATCCGAATCGATCCGAATCGATCCGAATCGATCCGAATCGATCCGAATCGATCCGAATCGATCCGAATCGATCCGAATCGATCCGAATCGATCCGAATCGATCCGAATCGATCCGAATCGATCCAATCAATCAATCAATCAATCAATCAATCAATCAATCAATCAATCAATCAATCAATCAATCAATCAATCAATCAATCAATCAATCAATCTAGAGGTTGTTGGAACAACCGCAAACTTTGCCACACACATCAACTCAAAATGCATGTTTAAATCCATGTTTGACTTTTTTAAATGCCGCCAGAGGGCACTTTAACATTTGATGACGTCACCTGTAATGTTTTTGTACAGTACTGCCTAGGCAGACACTTACATCCTTGAAAGCAAGTTTGCATCTTCTTCAAATTTCAAATAATGAGACACTTTCAGTTATAGGCTGTTTCCCTGTTCGAACAAACACGTGTGTGCCGCGCACGTCTGACAGAAATAGGCACCGCAATTTCAACATGCTATACAACACAAGTTGAAGGAGGAATCTCGTTTTTGTTGTGTAACAAAAATACTGTAATAATTTGAGTTTATGATGTTGAGAAATGAACATCGTAAATTGCTACATGTTACCTTATCAATGCCCAAAATTTTCCCACACGTAATGACTTGATCCGAGCATGGTCTGAGCATGCCCTGAGCACTAAAAACTTGCTTCATGGCAATTATTGATGATTAGTTTTGTTCTAACAACAAACGGGTCCTTTTACTGTACTAAACCTAAGAAATCATTATTATTTTTGCAACAAGTTGAAAAATACCGGTAGCTATACCCTAAAAAACAATCAACATTTTGATTCGCAGCTTTCATCAAATTCTCTTTCTGTGGACAGATCCATTAATTTTGTAAAAGGGTGCTCCACCCTCTTTTGGAAGATTACATCGTTTTTCAAAAAAAATATACTGTGACGATTCTGAACAAGGGAAAGGCTTCTGACTCCATAAAACGTATTATTTGTTATTTGGACACGGTGAACAAAACTGAAAATGCTGGTAAATTGTGCCGAGGAAAGCACACCCTTCACTGCAAATGGTTTGGTCCAAACGAATACGTCACACTGGAATTATATTGGCTGCGCTGTCAAAGAGCACGCTTTTCATGGAGAGAATTGCAGGTGCGTACGATTTTTTCAAAGCATATCGGCCCGATATATCCTATTGTATGCCTGGCTAGAACATCGTATACAATGAAGATGAATGCGGTGACTTGTCAACACGGTAAATTCAATCATCCGTGCGCTTTAGGTTTGCCCTTTCATTGCAAGCTTTAGCATGCCTAGGGCAATAAACAAATGCTTGCCGAACTCTTCCAAACCGACATTTGGTTTCGGTTTGGTCCGGGCTCGGTTCGGAAGGCCAAGTTCGGCTATTTTTATTTCGGTTCGGCGGTACAGCTGCAGCACTAGTGGTAAATCCCAGCTGAAGTGTGGTCCACACTGTCCCTGTTGTAAAGTGGTGAGTCCCTGTTGTAAAGTGGTGAGTCCCTGTTGTAAAGTGGACAGTTCAAGTAGATGTATGGCCGAGTCTACTCAAGCCTGACATGTGAAGTAAGAAAAAGTTCAGCATACGCATGACATAGTACTGGCCTGCACTGATGTGAATGATTTCAATTCTTCAGAAGTCCAGTTGAAACAAATTCCACAAGAGTTTTCCTGTGAGCACAGATGGCATCTGAAGTATGTTGTGTGAATGTCAAACTCCACAGGGGATGGAGATCCTGCACATTTCACAAGACCTTTTTGTGGTCTCCCTAAATGTCCATTTCTTTGTTTTAGTAACACGGAACTGTCAGAAATAAGGTCTAATAGGCCTGTATTGTGTAATGCTTGACAGCCAACTAATTTGCATCGTGTACACTCAGCAGCGCGCACGCTGGGAAAAAGGTGCGAGTTACCAAGTAGTTCTTGGGCATACACTGTGTGCATGCGTGGTGACGGAATGTTCTTCCATTATTGTCAGTGGAAGTGTTTCTGCATGTCCATTGGAAATTCTTTTGTAGGTATCGAACGTAAGGTATTTTCACTAATAGAATTGAAAAACAATCTGAAACGTTAGAGGAAACTTTGGAAACGTTGTGACACCAGCTGAACACTGTAAAAAAGTTGACTGAATTACCTTGAAATCTGCCCTGGTTATCCACAAGTCTCTCATTTCTTTGTGAGGCTTCAAACTGTTCTTGATTCAGCATACCATGAAGACCGAGAATTCCTGTTTGGGTTCATCACAAAAAGTCCCAAACGTCATGTTAATTCCCATTAAAATTTTTAAAAGAGGAGGGGGACCCAAAATGAGTTATGCAAGTTACACAAATTCCCTGCAACCATGTCTGTTCCCATGACATAACACCACCCTTATAACATCAGGTTTCCTTGGAACATTCATTTATATCACCATTGTTTTGTTTATAATGATTTTAACCAGTGGCCCTTTAATTAAAAATGAATTTTGTTTTGCTATTCATGTAAAAGGAATAATAAGTAAAAAGATACATGAACAGTGGGTACAGGTCTACATAGTACAAAATGTGAAGCACACTACAAAATAATCACAAATATCACATACATTTGTAAACATCACTTTACAAAATTTAGAGATGATCTCCAATCTTGTAGTCATGCATAACCTGGCATCTTCCCTGGAAACTATCCATGTCCGACAATCTGTGGCTTCCATAAGTTTCTTCATCAATTCCCCCGATTGCTCTTTCAAGTAATCTACTGGCTTTCCTGCATCATCACGTCCATTCACTATTCATAAAACTAGCAAATTTGGGATATATTTTTCCCCTTAATACTACCTTCTCTTTAGAACTCCTTACCTGAATCTCGCTTCCCTTCTACCTACAATTTTCCACATTCAAATTAAAATGTGAACAGAAACCTACTGTCAATGACTTCCTCCACTTCCAATCTTTCTAGTTTGTAGCTAATATCTTTGAGTGTACTCGACCTTGTGATCAGTTAGCCAATATCCATTAAATTTCTGTTTGCAATGTTTTTGTTCTTTGTTGATGACTAGTGCAGTGCCCGTCTGAAATGTGCATGTTCGGGAAGGGCAAATCGCTTGGCCACTGGTTGCTTGCGGCGTTTTGGAGAACTTCTCGCGCAAACAACGCACGCGATTCAATGGTGTTGTTTTCACAGGTTGAACGCACACGTACACTCACAGGTTGAACGCACATTTTTTAATATGGACGGAATTATAGTAAGAAAACATAGAAAAAACTGTGCTATTGTTTATCCTATTGTTGGTGATGGAATAGCCCCCCTTCCCCCCCCCCCCAGTGAACTCCCCATTGTTGATAATGGAATAGCCCCCAGGTCAGCTAGCTCTTTGCACACGTACGTACACACGTGTAGTTAATTGTGACATCACACAACATTAAGGCTTCAGAAAATGCTGCTTTTGTGCCGCTTTTTCGAGAACCGCTCATCCAAACAACTTCAAACTTGAAACTGCACATTCTGAGGTCCCGAGCATAAACCCGCCAATTTTCAACTTCATACGGTGCCCGGTTCTGAAGATAATCGACAAACAGAGAGACACACACACACGCACACACACAGAGATTCCTGGAATTATAGTAAGGATGAGCACGTTCTAAAAAACAAATCGCTGAGAACGGCCTTCCAAAAAACTGCTCATAATGCAAGAAATAGTTATTGAACCCATAAAATTTGCCCCAATGTACACGTAAGTTAAAAAATGAATAACTTGAGCATCTCCATCAAAGATTTTAAATGCGAGTGCCCGTCTTAAATGTGCATGTTCAGGAAGCACAAATTGCTTGGCCACTGGTAGTGGTTGCATGCTTGCAAATTTTTTGAGAACTGCTTGTGCAAACAACGCACGCGATTCAATGGTGCTGTTTTCACAGATTGAAGCACACTCAAGTCAAAGTGTGTGCCAAGTTTGAAGTTGTTTGGGCGAGTGGTTCTCGAAAACGCTGCAAAAAGATAGGTATTCACCCCTACTGGACATTGGTATCGCCCTGCATAAGGTTGCTCAGTCAACCGCCAACAATGGTCGCTCAGTCGACTGCAAAAATAATGTGCCCGTGCAGCCACCACGTACGTGTACATACGGAAACATGGTATGCAGTGCTATTCACCCATACTGGACAATGGTATCGCCCTACAATGCACGTGCGCGTGCCCTTCCTTTTTGCATTGTTTGCGTCATATTGAGCACGCGCGCTTTAGCTAAAACATGACGTAAACAATTGAAAAGAACATCAGTACGTGGTGGTCTAGGCTATATGCTGGCACGTTTGCCTCAGAAAATATAACTTTTTTGCAGCTTTTTCAAGAACCGCTCGTCCAAACAACTTCAAACTTGGCACTGCACATTCTGGTGTCCTAAGCAATACACCCACCGATTTTCAACTTCATAGTTCATACAGTGCCCGGTTCTGGAGATAATCGAATTACAGACAGACAGACAGACAGACAGACAGACACACACACAGAAGGATTCCTGGAATTATAGAAAGGATGAGCCAACAGTGATGGTTGCTCAGTCGCCTGCAAAATGCATGTGCCCGTGCAGCTACTCACGTAAGTGAGTTACGGAAACATGGTACGCAGTGCATGCTATTCACCAATACCCTGGGCAATGATCGCCCTACAATGCGTGTGCCCATCCTTTTTCCATTGTTGCGTCATATTGAGCGCGCGCGTTTTAGCTCAAACATGACGTAAACAATTGAAAAGGACTGTGTGTGTTTTAGGCTATAATCTGCAAAGTTGAGGCTAAAAAAATGCTGCTTTTTTGCAGCTTTTTAATTTTCGAGAACCGCTCATCCAAACCACTTCAAACTTGGCACTGCACATCCTGGTGTCCCAAGCAATACACCCGCTGATTTTCAAACTCATACGGCACCCGGTTCGGGAGATAATCAAAATACAGACAGACAGACAGACAGACACACAGAGATTCCCGGAATTATAGTATAGATGTCAACTACAAAATCTTAACTGTTGCAGCTGTAAATACGGATACAATCTTTGACCTGACCTTCATATTTTGCATTACCTGCAAGATTCACCAAGTCTTCTTCTGTAGCCTCTTCTAGAGCATGTTCCCATTCAGGATCTAGCTTCACATTTTCTTCTGTTTTCTTCATCAGCTCTGCTTTCTTGGTTTCATATATTTTACCTGAGGAAAAACACAATCTCAAACCTTCAAACCAGTTCTACTTTTAAACCCAAGATTTGTTTTCACACAGTGAGAAAAACACAGATCTCAAAACAATTACAAAAAACAAACTACAGGTACAACACAATAGTTTTTCACGTTTTGTGATCAGAATAAAAATATACATACATGTATGGGAATTTTTTCCAAATGCAGAGTACATGTTTATGACATCATAATGTCATTGTGATGATACACTTACTGTCGCAAAGTAAAATTTGATTGAAAGAGAAATTACTTTTTTGTGTAAATCAGGGGTGAGATTAGACAAAAATGAAAAATCCACGAACTTCGGTTGACATGTATACATGTACATGTACATGTATTATATGTACATGTATTACATGTACATGCACGTATGTCCGTATATGACATGTACATTTTATGTACCATAATTTCTGTAATGTTTGGAAATTTTGTCGCTTCAGTAAAGAAAAAAAATGGGGGGAAAATGAGGAAAAACATAACTGGATATTAAATAATATAATCCATACGTGATTGATTCAATAATGTCTTTTTCTGTGTGTGATGTTATTACTTTTGCATGTTTGCAAAGAGAAAGAAATGATTCACACAAAAAATATTAACGGTGTTAAGTTACTAATCTTACTCATAAACTCAAAGGCTTCCAAAACATGTTTGTGTTGGTGGTGGCTGTTTTTTATAAAGCACTACTGCAGCTCAAACTGATTTCCATCCACAATGACACTTTATTACCAGTTCTTCCAACCATTCTCTTAAATTCCTTGATCAAAATCTCGCACTGCTGATGGGTCTCATCGCAACAATTTTGACACCAATGTGTTTACGAATTGCTACATGTAGCTCACGATCGTCACTGCACAGTACATGCACAATACACACACATCCACACGCGATATATACAAACACGAGGTGCAAACCCATTGAAAATTATTTTTAGTCTGGTCCTCAAGTACTCCACTGCGCACACTGCATTGATGTCTATCAGGTTCTTGACTGCATTGCTTATGAAACTTGTCACCAGTCCATCCATTATTGTAAATTAGGGCCTATACTTCACCAGAAGTTTTTGGGCAATATTACGGAAACAGAAAACGTTGGAAATCCAGAATCTGCATAAAATTCTCCAATAACAATAACATTATTGTAAATTAGGGCCTATACTTCGCCAGAAGTTTTTGGGCAATATTACGGAAACAGAAAACGTTGGAAATCCAGAATCTGCATAAAATTCTCCAATAACAATAACATTCACCCAGCCAAACCCATTCCCTGGTCAGCTTTCCATACCTCTTCCCCCCAAACACTTCCTTAACATATTTTTAAGTACATTTTCTAGTGTTTTTATGTGCATCTATACACCAGTCTGATTTTAGCTTTTAGGATCATTGTTCATTGTCGATTTTGTTTTAACTTTAATGTTTTTAACTATAGTAAAATGACCATAATTCAGCCAATTCTTTTGTAAAAATTGAATTCTGTGAAAAGTAGGTCACCATGACCTTTAATGTTACTGTGACCTTTGACCTAATTTCTGTAATAATGCATCATTCCGCTATTCAAAGGATAGGAACTCCAGAGAATTCTACGCCACGCTCAACACCGTCTACGGTCCTAGATGTAAGAGCACACACCCTATTAAAACCAAGGATGGTGAGCTGTTAACATCTCCAGAAAAATGCAAGGACAGATGGGTTGAGCACTTCTCAATCTACCAACTGATGTTGACTTGGATATTGTTAATGATATACATGTAGAAGATCATCCAATCACGGAAAGTCTTGATGACCCTCCCACTGAAGAGGATTTAGATACTGCCCTGAAAAACACCAAACTTGGAAAAAGTCCAGGTCCCGATGGCATTATTCCAGAAATCCTGGTTCATGGTGGACAGCGTCTGAGAGCATTTCTTCTATTAAACCCTGTTTACAATGTTCTGGACTACTTCAGATAACATTCCTGCAGACCTGATAGATTGCAACATCACTATCCTCTTCAAGAAGGGTGACCGCAGTCACTGTGGCAACTATAGAGGCATAGCACTACTTAGTGTAGTTGGCAAAGCATTTGCTGATATTATTCTACAGAGACTGCAACGCCTAGCAGAGAATGTGTATCCAGAGTCTCAGTCAGGATATCGCAGTGGTAGAAGCACCATCGATGGCATCTTTACCCTTAGACAACTAATGGAGAAGAGCAGAGAGCATCGCACAAATCTCTATATTGCTTTTGTTGATTTTACAAAAGCTTTTGATTCAGTCAACAGAGAACTTCTCTTCAAGATACTTGGCAAACTTGGCTGCCCTGCTAAGTTTGTACGGATCATTGGGAAGTTTTACACTGATGTTCATGCTCGTCTCATCGTTGATAGTGAGCTCACTCAAGCTTTTGAATATAACAGTGGCGTTAAACAAGGATGCAAGCTTGCACCAACCTTATTTGGCATTTATGCTGCTGTTCTTCTCTACCTTGCCTTTAAGAACATTAAGCACTCATGTAGCATCAAAGTGCGCTTTCGTTATGATGGCAACATCTTTGACTTAAAAAAGACTAAAGGCCAAGTCCAAAGTTCTCAACAGCTACACACGTGAAGCACAGTATGCCGATGACATTGCCATCTTCAATGATACCTCAGTTGGTTTGCAGCTTCTTCTAACTGCATATGACACTGTAGCAAAGTAAATGGGTCTCAAAATTAACACAGCTAAAACTGAGTGTATGTGCATTGGAAATCCAGCAGATTTTTATGTTGATGGAGTAAAGTTGATAAATGTCGACGACTTCAAGTACTTAGGCAGTCAGGTCAGCAAAGATTGCTCAATGAAAAAGGAAATCAATGCTCGAATCGAAGCCACATCCTGTTCTTTTGGCAGACTCAGAAAGAGGGTATTTGATTCTAGAGATCTAACAGTAGAAACCAAGATAATGGTCTACAGCCAATGTCTCATGCCCTTACTTTCATATGGAAGTGAGACTTGGACCCTGTACTACCATCAAGTTGTACGTACTACACAGCAGAGACATCTGAGGCTAATTTTAAAGTTTAAATGGGACGACTTTATCACTAATGATGAAGTCCTAGGGTTAGCTGGTGTTGAGGACATTGAGTTGAAACTGGTCAGGAACAGGCTACGCTTGTTCGGCGAAAGACCAGTAAAGAGCATAATGTACTGTGAACTTGCCAATGGCTCAAGATCAGTTGGACGTCCCAAACTCAGGTTTAAAGACACTTGCAAAAGTGCACTCAAATGTGGGAAGGTACTTGACGAGTGGAGTAGTACTGTAGATAATCGTCCAAAATGGAGAAAACTTGTAAATAATACATGTCAAAGTATAAATGACAAATGACTTCAGCAAAACAAGAAGAAAAGAGCCAGAAGGCACATGAAGAAAGAATCTATGTTGAAACCCGTTTCGGGCAGATAGGCGATATATATGTTTCTATACCTTATGTTTAGCCTGAAATACTCAGTGAACCCCAAATAAACTGTGAACTGCTGTGTGCACATTGCATTATTTTGGTGAGTCACAGAAAATATCATGCATTGTGTGTTTCGAAGCAGAGAAAATGAAGGAAAAAAAATGAATTGGATTTACTTAAACAAAATCTGCAGTTCATATCAGTTCTCTTTGGTTCCACTGGTTGTACAGGGTACAAGGGTAATGGTAGTATTCAGAACAGGATGTCAGCATGATGATTAATTTGTAACTCTCAAATGTTGGTTTCAGGACGATTCTAGTAACATGGAAGGGAAGCCTTTGATGAAACAAGATCCTGCCGAGAAGCAACCATGAAGCGGAAACTACAACTTTAATATGCGTCATTTTCTCATGGGAGCAGGCCAAATGCAGCCCCATCAGCTGGTTGAGTCTGTTGCAGTAGCAAGTGTGACAGTTCAACGGTAAATGGGAAAACAGTGACATTTTCTTGGAAAGAAGATACCCCTAACCTATGGGAAGCGATTAAACCCAATGTTCAAAGTGCGCTGTATGCTATACTACAATATTTAGCCCTGACAACACCAGCATTGCTATCGAGGAAAAAAAATGTTGCACTCTACACATGTATATTCAACAATCCAGTGGATAAATTACATACTTGTATGTAAAGTCAAAATGCAGACGTCTCCAGACATCAAAGGAATGTAAACGCAGTGGCCAATCAGCAGTTATGCCTCTGTGGAGCCAATTGCGTTCACCGCACACACGACCACGGTCACCGCGTTATGAACATATTTCAATAAGATTGTAAGTCAGCTGCATTGACTTGCAAAGGAGGCAGAAGTGCTTGATGTTTTGCTCGTAACTAATGATCGGTCAAACCGCGATGGATCTGGTCAAAACGCGGTTTGAGCTTTATGAGAATACGCTTAAGTTTCCCATTAAAATATAACTACCAACTGACCAAAAATTGACCAAATGCAATGCAGTCGTCAGTAAATACACTCTTGGCAAAACTTTTTGGAACACGCCCCTTTGTCTCGATAGATGCGCGTGTTTGTCTATTTTGCATATATGAAGTGAGACATTTCGGAACCAGGCCAGAGCTTATTGTGCATTCGTGCTTAGGGGTTTTCTTTATTAATTTTTTTTTACTGTCTGTATTTTGTTTGTTGAGGTGAAATTAATAATAACAATATATATTATCTTCAAGCAAACTTGAATCTTCGATCCTGATTGGTCGATCCATGGCAACAAGCCGTGCTACATATAACCATACCGCACTGCCACGGTCCATACCGCACTCTGCGTATTCCGCTGTTCCAAGATGCGGGCAACATTCCAGCTGCATACGCTAAACTGCTGAATGTCCGTGTAAAGTCTGCTAGTTCCAACTGTACTGCGCGTCAAGTTTGCTTAAAGATAAATTCGTTATCACGCTCGCACTCGTGGAACACTGAAAATGTAGTGCGTCTGTGTCCCACATTCGGCCTTGTGGTATGTGGGACACAGACGCACTACAGTATTCCGTGTTCCACTCGCGCTCGCAGGATAACTAATAATATCCTGCCAACATACCTTGCAAAACGCATGTTGTTTTATTTTCTGGATGTTATGATAAACTCAAACTGCTTTCAATACTTGTCACTATAAACTGTCCCTTTTTCGTTGCCTTGGAAGTCATGATGATGTCACAAGAAGTTCGAAAAACGTTTCGTAAAAACTACGAACATGATGAAAACACATACTCACATGGCAATGTTAGGGCCAATGATTTTCCGTTTCAGAAAAGTGCAAATTCCGTTAATAATATTGCTATAATATCCATACTGTATACAAACCGAAAAGCGAGTGTGTGACAAACACGCTGTTCCAAGTCGTTTTCACAAATTTTTCGGCATTACAGTTTTGGAATACAGCTCGTATTTTCGTAATGATTCCGCCAAATTTGGAATGGTTGGCAGGTATATATGATAAACTGCTGGATTGCTGCTTTAAAAAAAAAAAATTCGCAAAAACAGCTTTCCAGAAAACACGGCCAAGCCTACAATGTATACTAACGTCTGCACATCCGTACAACCACGTTTCACAGCTAGCCGTGAGTGGGTCTGTATATCGGTCTGACTGGGCCTGGGCCAATTACGCACAATGAACCATTTGCCGTATGGCCGTTTTCGGACATAGAAGTACTTGTACTCGGAATACAAGTACTCGTACTCATACGCGGAACTACAAGTACTCGTACTCGGAAATACAAGTACTTGTAGACCTGTACTTGTACTCCAGAGGTAAAAGTACTCGTACTTGGTAACATAAGTATTCAGCAGTACTTGGTACTCAGAAAAAAGACTACAACACTGCCAATACCCAGTGGACCAGTATTCAGTTCCGATCACTATGCACATTACAACAATTGTTATCCTTTAATGACCATACAAGGACAAACTTAGGAGTACATGTATCTTGAAGAACAACTCGGATCTTACCTCTTTTTTCTCCAGCTTTATACGGAACCTTGTCTTCCCAGTCTTTTTCTTCTTTAGCTTTCTTCTCTAGGAACTCAATGAGATGTTGTCTATCAAAAGTGCCTGTAGGGCTTTTCCTTGTCTGGTCTTTTTGCCTTTCAGAAGCAGGTAAGGACTCATTCTACAAGCATGAAGAACAACATGGTCATTTTTAAAAAGATATTTTATAGTTTTACAGTGCACTGCAATAGAAATGCAATGTTAAAAAATTTCGATCTTTTTTCGAAACTGTTTTTACCAACCTACCTACCCCAAATGTTGATTTTAAATGGTGAATGACTATTCAATATATCCTACGAACAAAGTAATGCTTCATGAAGCAGATATTTTAGGAAAATGCTCTCCCAGCTAAGGAGTTTTCAATGGCTTTTTCAAGCTTCAAGCATGCAACTTTTAGTAGAAACAGACGGAAATTGCCAGGCACACAAAACTTTGAACAATGTTTTCAGTTTTCTAAAAACACTATTAAACAATTAAAAAAGGGTTATTTTGGCTTCGTTATGATTAGCTTGTGCTGTGTCCAAAAGTGTTGTAGATCACGGCTGTTTCACAAAAATAAAAGAGTGCGCCCTCTGTGGTGAAAGATTGATAGTGCGATTCACGCTGTAGCGCGTACGCGACGTGTAGCGAGTCTATGTTTGCATACAGTTACGCGTGAAACGTGGCTTGTGGGAGAGGCCAAAAATTACTTGTTTAAAGACAAATATGAGTTTTCCCTCAAGAAATCAAGATTGCAACCTGGAGAAGAGATGTTGGCTACTCTGTTGGAGTAGAAAAAACACAAGGTACAGCGGGAAGATTTTTTATATTTGCGAATTTGTTTGGCTATTTTCACGTGTATTTTTTATGGGGATGATTAGAAAGAAAAATGGCGGCCCCCACTCGCCGTATGTCAAATGTATGTTGATTGTTGTTGCCGAGAAAAATTTGTTTTTCGTGTGGGATTGTGGATGTGAATTCACCAAACTTCTTGCATAATACTATGGGTGGCCAATAGGGCAAAAAAGACCAAAACAAATACAACATGTGTAAAACAAAACCACAAAATTAAACGAAAATACAAAAAAATAAACGAATAACTCAGAAATAAACAAACAGCTTAGAAATAAACGAACAACTCAGAAATAAACGATCAACTCAGAAATAAACAAACAACTCAGAAATAAATCATCAATGCAGAAATAAACAATCAACTCAGAAATAAATGAACAACTCAGACATAACCGAACAACTCAGAAATAAACGACAAACTCAGAAATAAACGATCAACTCAGAAATATATACGAACTCAGAAATAAACAAACAACTCAGAAACAAACAAACAACGTGCCCAGGGTGTCGAGCAGCAGTACGCGCCCACCATGTACCATACAGTACAGAAGTGCAGATGAATGTTTACCGCGGCATCCAAGATGGCGGACACCTTGCATCGCTTTGCGCGATGAACATGTAGAAAAAAACGGAGGATAAAATGTAGTGGTTTTACGTCGATGACCTCCGAAGCCAGGAAGAAGTCTATGCGAAAGGTTAGCCTGGTTGCAGTTTGATTTTCATGATGGAAAATGTCGACTTTGTAAATGTTTACAATGGTATCCCATCATGTCTGTACGGCCGGGTTTGGCCACTGTGTACTGGCGCGGCGGTGCGGTGGTCAGACCACGGACCATAAATGGTCAGACGGTGGATTATCATGATTATCCGATGTGGAAAGATTCCCATATCTGGCCATCACTATTTTTTCCCTTCATCAGTGACCTATCATCCATCAGAAAGTGATAATATATGTACTAAAAAGCAAAATTAAGCTGGAGAAAAATATTGAAGTACTTAGGAAACACTTAAAATAGAAATGTTCAGACCACTGAGTCTCGTAAGGTTTGTGCACAGGGATGGCCAGGTATGGGAATCTTCCCATCACTAATTGTTCCCTGCAGTGACCTAACAGCCATCAGCTGGGGAACATATTGAAGCAATTACCGAGAAAACACTATGATTTTTTTCAGACCATTTTCATAGGGTTTGTTCACATGGACATCGCAAGGGGGGGGGCAGGGCGCTGTCTCCCCCCCCCTCCCGCCCGGAGCCCAAAAAAAGAGGGAAAAAAAAGAAATTGAAGGACAAGAGGAGTGAAGTCATATTTGTGTACATTTAATGTGTGGGGGGGGTTAAAATGTCCCTGCCCCCCTCTAAAACTGATAAATCGAGAATATGTTGAGAAATACAGGAATTTTTTGGGAAAAATATCTTTTGCCCCCCCATTAGAAAAAATACGAGCGACGCCCATGTTTGTGCACAGGGTCACCATATGGTCACTGTCATGGAGATGTCCAGGGATCACACTATTTCTGGATAGCTTTATGATATACGTATGATTGCACTGTGTTTTACTCTACATTGCCACCATCAGGCCCCTGATTACAACTTGATTAACATCTCTGTAGGCCTGGACTTAAAGAGTTTGTGATGAGATTTTGGCAACTTTTCATGCTAAACCGTTTCACTTATTTTGTCATTTGTCCCAACAGAGTGCAGGATATTATGAACGGTGGTCAAGCTGGCTACATCAATGATCCAGATGGAAAAGCAACAGAAACTCAACTGAAAGAAAGCAACTTTAGTCTTGTCTGATAAGTGCTGCATTCCACAGCCCATGCCAAATATGGACTGAAATTCTAGCTGAACTACCAGATCTTACATACAAGTATGTAGACAGCAGCTGGCTACTAGTAGCCAGTGTTGTAGTCGAGACCGGATAGTTTGAGACCGAGACCAAGACCGAGACCTGAAGCTGCGAGACCGAGACCGAGACCGAGACCAGCCCCTTCAAGACGGACCGAGACCGAGACCGAAATGGTCCGAGACCGAGACCGAGACCGAGACCGCGGATAATAAATAATAATAATCTAAATAAACAACAAGACACTAATTACAGCTGAACAGTCTGTCCTTGAGATGTTGATGTTCATGGGGATGTGAAGGAAGTGATTGAAAGTTAGGAATCACTTGTACCTGCTTAATTGTGTCATGCGAGTGCTCTTCGTGTTTGCTTCATGCCATGAATTACAACATGGCAACAGAATTTGTTATTGTCACAATCAATTAAAAAAATATTGTTTAACTACTATAAAGTGTAAATCTGATGAAGAAACTCTAACTTAGGAGTACGACAATTTGTACTAGTTTTTGCAAAACTTGAACATGTTGAAACTTGACAAAAGTAAAAAGTTAAAGGTGGATGTTTCATCTGTTATAGGAACTCGGACCCTAAACTCCAGAGCCAGCCCTTGGTTTCAGCAATGACCACTAACGGATATTTAAATGCAACTTTAATTTTACATTGGACCTCCTTGTAAACCTGATTCGAAAAAAATTTGGAGCAAGAAAATATTGATTTATTTTTTTAAATTTCAGTCATGGAATATAGACTTGTTCATGTAGACCCAAAAAATGAGAGGTGGTAGCCAGAGGGGCCTGGCTTAGGCTGAAATGTAATGCCACTTTATTTGTGTATAATGTCAATACCATTACATATACAATGTACTATAGAAGATCGATGGACCATATTTGCCTGATCTATCTTCTGTTAATCTGCCCGCCGTCATCATCGCCATTAGCCTATTGGAGAATATGGCCGACACAATAGAAGGGCGCTGTCACAAACTGAATGTGGTGGGCGAGATGTACATGTACTTTTAGGATTCATGGCTGCGTGTGCACACCTATTTTGTGTTTTGTACCAGCGTATCGCCCGCATCGGCTACTTTGCCGGGCGATTTACTTAAATATTTTAGTAATTTACAAGTACATGTACAACAAATTGCCAATATTTCATTTGTTTATTGTGATGGCCGTAAACAGCATTTAGCGAGTATGATAAAAAAAAAAAAAAATGGCACCCTCCACTTCATAAAAAAATATGATTGGGATAAAGAACATGTTATTGAGTAGTAACTCTGAAAATTTCACGTAATTTGCATTCTCTATTCCCAAGTCGTGTCTATTTTAATAAAGAGCTCACAAAATTCAGCTGTCCACCACTATTAGCAATTTAACGGTCTACGAATTGATGAATATCCATTAATAAATATAATGAAAAAAAAATATTTCCCACCTCCACGAATAAAGGAAAAATTGAAAAGGAAAATAGAAAAAAAATCACCAATATTTCTGGGGAATAAGAGTTGAATTGTTTCCCATATTAAAAACAAAAAATCTGACGGTAAGAATAATGTTTCAATCTTGATTCATAAGATTTTAATCCCAGTTGTATTTGGAATCAATGAGGATGGCTATAAAGTGCTTGTTTCAACAAACCATCCCACAATAAAAACGAGAAATAAGAAAAGGAGCAATGATTGTTGGACTATGCCTCACTCACAAAGTGAAGAGAGACATGTCTATTAGCATCACACTGCAGTCACATTTGCCCTCAACTGATTCTTTGTTTAATCCTAAACTGGGGCCGAGGCGGAATCCGCCCCCTCACTTTTTGGCTGGTCTCAACTCGAGACCGGCCAAAATATCGAGACCAAAGGGGACCAAGACCGAGACCAAGACCGAGACCACAGCTCCCGAGACCGAGACCGAGACCGAGACCAGCAAAAAGTGGTCTCGAGACCGAGACCGAGACCGAGACCGGTCTCGAGACCTACAACACTGCTAGTAGCTGCGGCTCCCTGAATACATGTACCTTGTAAAATGGCAAATGCACTTTTAAAGTTATAGAGTTTTTTTATTACAAGACCCCCCAAAATCCACAAATACATTTATGAGAGAAAGTTCACTCGCAACCACTGATGAGCATCTATGCAGATGATTCAATTAGTTTGGAACTTGCTCGGCAACCCCTGTCCAGGTTGTCATTGAGGATTCTGTCTGAGGACTTTTTGAGGTGAAGAGTCTGTCAATGTTGAGAGAGGTGACACTAAAGGAAGTGATTCTAGCCAAACAGGACTGCAACTTTCCTTTGCAACTGAAGGAATCAAAACCCATGCTTAAGGAGAATCATGCATAGTTTCATCAAGTGCAGAGGCAGATGGCAGTTGTAAGTGTGCCTTCTTGTTGTGACCTTCGAATTTTCACCTATGCCCACATGCAGCGATGTGCTCATAGTACAGGTAC